CTTATTCCAGAAATTGGTCTTATATGCTCTCACCTTGTGACCTTAGCATAATTGGTTTCACAATGACGATATTTCAAATCTTACTACCTAAGAATATGCTGAAGATGGAGACACTGCCCCGGATATGTGGCATGAACCATCCTTTGGTAATCAGAAATAGTATTTTCAAAAAAAAAAAGTTGACCTAGAAATAAATATGAACACGACCTTCAAGATGAAATCCAAGGTCATCAAGTGGTGCCACAAACAAATTTTATAGAGTTAATTTTCCCTATATCTCACTATCCTGAAGAGATACCAACCTGCAAAGTTCGAAACCTTCCGCTCTTTTAGAATTCGGAGTCAGAAATTGTATTACAATAAAATAACAGGTGTTGACCCTCAAATAACTTGAAATATGACCTTAAAAAATAAATCAACCAAGTATCCAAACGTAAAATTACTCGCTCTTCAGAATGCGGCAACAAAAATTGTATTACCTTCAAAAAACAAGAGTTGACCTTCATATGACATTGAACATGAGCTAACTTCGTAAAACGGACACCAGATTCGGATTCAGCGACCCCAAAAACGTTGAGGTATGGTGGTTTAGTCTAGCACAAATTGCATTTTTCCCGTGTAGCTGTATAATCAGTATATGGCAAATAAAGGGTGCTCCAAATATAACGCAGATTTTGAATTGCGCGCCATTTTCATTCCGAAAAGTTGGCATCATTGTGTATGGTAACATATTGTAGTAAACACGTTGCGGTTAGACAAAATGAAGCGTTATACGACGGATAAGCGAGTGAAAATTGTTACAAGTACGATGAGTGTGTAGCTGAAACTGTGCGCTAATTACGTGGAATTTTCGCCTCGAATAAAACAACTGTGAAATGATTAGTTGCCAAATTTGAACAAACGAGTTCGGTTGCAGACAATAAAGAACAACAAGGCGAACAATTCGCCTAATTCGAGAGCAGTCTCATTACAATACGCCTGAATATGTTTAGTTTATTCTAGGCGCATTGTAAAAATATTAACGTTTTTTTACGTTTTTACGCTTTTAGGTTTATTTTACAATAAAACTTATAGCTATTCAGTGTTTTGTAAAACGCCTAAAATTTTCAAATTGTAAAAAATTATGTTTACATATCATTTTACAATTTGCCTACACATTTTACAAAAAGACTGAATTTGCAATTAGCCTGCGACATACCTGTATACATGAAACAGTTCTTTTTACAACAAAACACCCTTTTATTTTTAATGTATCATTACTTTTTGAAGAATTTGGGACAATCCTACGTTATCATTCTACTAACTAGCACAAAGTGCAAGATGTAACCGTATTTGTTCGCTGCTTACGATGTTCCTAAAAATTGTCTTAAAATGTGACACTTTAATACTCTTTCCAAGTAGTGCCAAGAAGACACTAAACGAAAAAGAATTTTCTGTTCTAAAACAAATAGTCTTTTTCATTCAGCTGTTGAACTATTAATTTAATTAGAAAAATTCATTAAAAAATATGACTACTTATATAGTGTGTCCCATTTTTCAGGTTAAGACCTCTGGAAATGTGAGAAGCCAATTTTTTTTGCCTGAAGTACCCTGAAAGGAGATTATATTCTACTAATCATTTTATTGATGTGACAAAAGCCTGGCCTACTACGATTTTTTTAAAGGGTCGTTTTTCCAGAAAGTGGTATTAGGCATTTTTTTTATCAAAAAGATAATATTACCAGGCTATTCACCACCCATCAAAATACCCATATACCAAATTTGGCCGACAAATGTCTATTGAGTGTTTTTTTTATGGGGTCCAAACTTCGAAAAATCAGACAACCAAAAATTATCATAAGCAGGTCAAAGATTGCCATGAAAGCGAAAACAAGTACCAATCGGACAAAGAAAAAATAGACACTATAAATTTAACACTTTTAATTGCAGCCGTATTAAAAATAATAATTAAAGTACAGACGTAATGAATTGTAAATACTAACTTATTAAACAAAAAATTGCAAACCGTTAATCTAAATTAAATTTCAGTTTTCTCCACCAAACCTCCTTCTATGCGAACACATTTTTCCAATCGTCTTCTTAAATTTAAAAATACTTTACATAGCTGTTGTGGAATAATCTCTGCACAAGCTTATCTTATGCGATTTATTAAGTCATCCAAATTCCTTGGTCTATTTTTATAAACTTTTTGTTTTATAAAACCCCAAAAGTAAAAGTCTATAGGTGAGACAAATCAGGGGATCTACAGGACTCCTTCCCCCAATCCACTAGTCTCGCAATAAACAAACATAAGCACGAGGGACGAAGAAAAGGTTTTGATATTAATTGAAAATTACGAAATTTCAAAGTTGCAAATAACGAAGATTTACTTCTACTTTCTTCGTAGATTGCATGGCGCCACCATCTTCGAGGACGTTTATCTTCAATCAATACGTCTATTAAAATAAATGCAGCACTTGTATAGTCTTTCCGAAGTCGGTCGAACATGTATAAAAACGCCTAGCTATAGAATTTAATGAGATTCATAGACGTCCCTAAAAATGTTTTCTGCTAATGATAAAAATTATAATAATTTGTATATAATATGTAGAAAATTTCTATTATATGTTGATTTGGTCAACAACATATTTTAGTTATTTATATCCTCAAACAGTTTTATTATATTGATGGTAAATTTCGTTTTGTTCCGTTTCAAAAGGTCTTCAAATGCCATGTTGTAATAAATTAGTAAACAAAATATCCCTCTTATTTCTCCCTTTCGCAATTGTAACATCAATGATTAATAGAAGGTACCTATAATAAATTAAAATTACCTGAATCACACCAAATTCCGCATTGCTAGGCAATTTGTCAACCACTTGTCAACAACTGAGATTTATTGCCCAGTCGTCCAATGCAGCTGTGTTTGTATTTCGTTTGCCCGCGGGTGCAATCCTCAACTGATCGTTTACATTTCTACCACTTCCACGTTTACTTCGACCAGACCTGTATATGGGTATGGTTAAATAATATGGGAACAAGTTTTTCAAATATTTCAATGCCGAGTTTCTGCCTACCGAACCTTGTACATATTGCCAACCTCTGGATTCTTTAACTGAGATCGGAAAGACCATAATCATTTCTCTTAGTACCAACATCGCGACTTAGATTCTTACTTAATAACACTATACTCCGCGGTCGAAATTATAGAGAGTGACTCATCGCCAGCTTTTGGACTAGTAAGGGGGATGAAGCGTGCCGGGAACGAAAATCCATTGGCGTGTCTGCGTAAAAGGCAACAAGATATAGAAAATATTGAAAAAAGATAATAAAACATAACATCTAATATTTTTTTACGGTTTGCTGTAACCGGCACTTTGATCCATTTTAATTATTACAGCATTTTAAAATGTCCCAGTTGTGTTTTCTTAATTTATAAATTTATTATAGCCATGGAATTAGACCCCTCGTCTACGCTTATGCTATGACGTTTCTCAGGACGGGTAAATCAAGTCCGTTTACACCCACTAAAAAAGTATTTCCCTATGCCCTACCAAGTGCAAAAGACAGAGATAGAATATAGATCGACGTTCAGTGTAACTCAGTCTATAGACGATTATAGATTCTATCGAGGTGCATAGCGAGCGGCACAAAGATAAATAATATTGAACCATATAAAAATCATTTTATATTTTATACGCGTTATGGTAATAGTGTTTTTATATTATGTCTGAGCCACTCTCTATAATTTCGACCGCGGAGTATAACTAGTTTATCAGTAACAGTTAAACGTCAAAAATGTCAACAATAAAGCTCTCATAGCCTACTTGTATTATTTAAATTATTGTTTAAAACATTGTTTAAAATTATTTCATTCATTCAGAATAATTGGTAAACTAGTGTCATAATGTAAGAATATATTAAAATTTTGGAAAAATATTTATCCTTACAGAATAGAAGCTATGTAAATTATTTTTAAAGTTAAGAAGACGATTGGAAAAATGTATTCGACTGGAAGGAGGTTGGTGGAAAAATTTAGTTTATAACATTTTGCAATTTTTTTAACAAATTAGTATTTATAATTCATTACCTACGTTTTTTACGTTAATTATTATTTTTACTATGGCCGCAATTAAAAGTGTTAAACTTATAGTGTCTGTATTTTTTCTTTGTTCGATTGGTACTTGTTTACACTTTCATGGCAAACTTTGTTTGTGCTTAATTTTTAGTTGTTTAACACCCCATAAAAAAAACTCAGTAGACATTTGTCGATCAAATTTGGTATAAGGGTATTTTGATGGGTGTTGAGTAGCCTGGTAATATTATTTTTTTGATAAAAAATGCCTAACACCACTTTGTGAAAAAACGACCTTTTAAAAAAATCGTAGTAGGCCAGGTTTTTGTCACATCTGAGGGTTGCTTTCGCTGTAGAGCAAGAATAAAACGCTCTCTCAACGGTAATAATAAAGTATTTTATTGAAAACTAAGTTGTATAGAAAAAGACGTGTTGACGGTTTGAGGGTTTGCTGGAGAGTCCCTGTGTGTGAAGTCGGTCGTAGGTATATGGGTACGCATCTGGTCGCCGGCGCCAGTTCGCCATTGACCCTTCCTGGAACGCTGGTGCGTCCGGCGGCGCTGGCGCTCTTGACGTAATGCTTAAAAATGGGTCACTTGCGGCATGTGTACCCACATATCAATAAAATGTTTAGTAGAATATAACCTCCGTTCAAGGTACGACGTGTAAAAAAATTGGCTTGCGGAAAGTACACAGTCTTCTCATATTTCCAGAGGTGTTAACCTCGGGACACACTGTATTTATTTATTTCATATCGATGCTGTAGGAGCAATTGAATCAGAAATACAAAGCAATACTTCGCGATCTACAAAAAAAAAAAACGATTTCAACGTCAAATATTTTTTTTCTCCGTTACGATAAGCCCGTCACAACGTACTATTACACTCCGTTCATACGTACATCAGTACATAAAAATTACTACTGAAATTTAATATGTTTAGTTCCGCACCCCAGAGACTAAAAAGATGGCGTTCAACATCCATCTTGAAAGAGGCGACAGTCTAGTGCCTCGGTACGTGAAACCCATCATGAGGTACTGTAGACTTCCAGGAGGGTTATACTACCTTTCCATAGTCAGACCCGGAAAAAGGATACCTCTGGAAACGGCCATAAACATGGAAAACTACGTAAGGAATAACCTCACAATGTATTTACTATAAGGGTGTTTTTTAAATGAAGTAGCAAAAATGGTACCAGTGAATGTAGAGCCAAAAATAAGAGGATTGAAGTAAAAATACCTTATATGAAAGTTGCACCCCTGAGGCGATATACCCTCTTAAAGGAGGGGATTGAAATTCACATTTTAATTTTTTTCTTTAACATGGGGAAAGCTAGAGACACGAAACTTGGAACGAGCATCCTACTAATAAAGAGACAACTTTTCAATATTTGTTCGCTCAAATAAAGTAGGCGGATGTCATAATAAATAAATTGTTATTTATCATATTCATAAATTGACACTTTCTGTCAATAAGCTGGTAATTTAATAATAACATTAAGAATAATTTGCTATTAATTAATGAAAAATGTTTGATAACTTATGACTATGGGACATGTAAAGTTATTTATCTGAAATAAAATTTAAAAACAAGAAATGCAAAATTAAATTTAAGGAATATTCTCGAAATAATTTCCATTTTGCTGCAAGCATAACCTAATACGAGGGTGGTCTGAAAAGTTTCCGACCTAACAAAGATACAAGACATTTTTTCAGATTTTTTTTTTATTTTTCAACATAGTCTCCTTGTAACTCTACACACTTCTCCAAGCGATGCTCCCATCTCTGACCTCTGTAATCCGTCCAAATAGTACTCGGCGTTTTTCTCTGCAAAATAATTGTTCACAAAGGTGATTGCCTCTTCATTTGACGAAAATCTCTGTCCTCCGAGCGCAATTTTTAGATGAGGGAACAAAAAGAAGTCGCTTGGGGCTAGATCTGGTGAGTAAGGCGGATGGTCAAGCAGTTCAAACCGTAATTCGTGGATTTTCGCCATGGCAACCGCTGAGGTGTGAGACGGTGCGTTGTCTTGGTGAAACAGGATTTTCTTTTTCTGCAAATGTGGCCGTTTTTCCGCAAGTTCTGCCTTCAGCTTGTCAAGTAATGATGCGTAGTATGCTCCTGTAATGGTTTTTCCTTTTTGAAGATAATCGATTAAAATAACTCCATGACTATCCCAAAAAACAGTCGCCATCACTTTCCCAGCCGAAAAAACAGTTTTTGCTTTTTTTGGAGCCGGTTCCCCCTTTGCAGTCCACTGTTTGGACTGTATTTTTGTTTCGGGCGTATAATGGTGTATCCAAGTTTCATCTACAGTAATTAATCGGCGCCAAAACTCGGATTTATTGCGCCTAAACTGCGCCAACAGAGCGTTGGAAATGTTCATTCGAACACGTTTTTGGTCTAACGTGAGCAAACGCGGCACCCAACGCGCGGACAGCTTTCTCATGTTTAAATGTTGATTTAATATGTGACAAACACGTTCTTTTGACATGTTCATAACCTCTGCTATCTCTCTCACTTTAATTCGGCGGTCGTCTAGCACCATTTGGTGAACTTTGGCGATGTTTTCGTCGGTAGTTGCAGTTTTTGGACGTCCCGAAAGTTCATCGTCTCCCAAGCTCTTACAGCCACGTTTAAATTCAGCTGCCCAAAATTTCACTGTGGCAAATGATGTTGCAGAGTCCCCACACACAGAATCCAACTCATCTTTGATTTGCGTAGGCGTATTGCCTTTCAAAAACAAATATTTAATGACAGTTCGATACTCGATTTTGTCCATTTTCATAAAAACACATCAACTCACTCAAACGACTGTTACATAACAACTGCGCGTCCAAAATGGCTGAAACTTTGGTGAGTAACTGTCAACAGATGAACAACGAAATTCACTAGCAGCTTTTATTTACAAGTGCTGCCATCTTCATGTTGAGGTCGGAAACTTTTCAGACCACCCTCGTATGTTTAAAAGTAAAGTAAATAATATATTGATCACTCAGTTTCCTGTGGAAATAACCCACATGTAGTATCCTTAGATAAAACTAGGATTACAAATGACGTAAATGCAAATTATTGTTTATAAAACGAAATCAGGGTCAGAAGATTTTCATGAGCTTCATTCCACACAAGACTGTGAGAAACTTGCAGTTGCCTGGACACCTGTATTGTGCTTGTACCAAAGTCTTGTTCTAGATGTTCCAGTATAGCTTGCTCAGTTTCAACAGTTCGAACATTACGCCTTCTCCCGGCACCCTCACGATTGGGCTGAATTTTACCAGTTTTGCGAAGCCTGCTTTCCACCGAGGCCAATGTTTGTCTATGAGGAACCGGTCGGTTTGGATATCTTTGGTGGTATAATCTTACTGCAGCGTTGCTTTTTTTTCTGGATTCGAAAAACACTTGGAGCATGTCGACATATTCGTCATTGGTATAAATATTATTTGCCATAATTATTCTGATAATAAATTAATCAATTGGTACTAATTATTGGTTGACAGAAAGTGTCAATTTATTAATATGATAAATAACAATTTATTTGTTATGACATCCGCCTACTTTATTTTTACAAATACCCCTTTAGTGAACGATGACGCATCTAATTTTTTTACTAGAAAACTATCGGTTTTATCGAAAAATTACAAGAGGTAAAAAATTGGGCAATAAATCAGTCTTCCCTATAAATATTTTTAAATAAATAATTTGCTTCATATAAAAAATTTCTAATAAAATATTGCAATGTGGTGGACTGTTTCACTCCTTTATAAAATACGCCAATGATCGAAAAAATATTGAAAAGTTGTCTCTTTATTAGTAGGATGCTCATACCAAGTTTCGTGTCTCTAGCATTCCCCATGTTAAATCCTCTTATTTTTGGCTCTACATTCACTGGTACCATTTTTGCTACTTCATTTAAAAACACGCTGTATAATAATATTAATACGCCGCCCCAACAGGAACCTTTTCCATTTCTTTTAAACGCTTTTTATAGGGGCAAGTCTTCATAACCGGAAGCTGCAAAAACGTTGAAAGGCAGGGCTTCTTCCGGTTGCATTTGAATGAGTACAAGACTGTAGAGACAATCACTTGCCTGGCACCATTCGTAAGATATCTCTATTTTAACCTAAAAATAAAAATGCTGCTCGCCATTTTATCGCTAAAATTGAGAAAGTTTATGATAGGTGGCTCGCAATGTTTCATGTCAAACGATAGATGGCGCCAGCAGCTTTTCTTTTAATACCAAGCAAGTATTTAACAACACAGCTTGTCTAATATCTTATTCAAGCCGATAGATATTCACAACCTGTACTCCCTCTGGGGGAAAAACGAAAAACTGCTGAACAACTTGCAGCTCCGTTTCGAGATGGCTCTGATCACAGACTTATTTGATTATTTCAAAGAACCTTGGGCCTACGCCATCTACCACGACAAATTCGACCTTCTTCTAGAGGACCTGAACAATCTTATGACGTCGACAGTGGTAGGTACCCCTTTCTATTCTCTATGGTGGCACCACCGATTCCATCACTATAAATACTTGTTTTTAGGGGGTGCCTGGGTTCTCCTTGATATCCAACCTCATAGAGATGTACAAGAAGAACAAATGGAGAGCGGTAATCCCCTTTACATTGTAATTCCGGTGTGTCACAGGGTTTAGGCTTGAAGGCCCTCAACGCTAAATTCGGATATAAATTGTTTACTCTATTTTTGATTCATTTTTTACGCAAAAGATGTTTAACCCCAGACCCACAGACAAATTATATTACGCGTAAATGCCCATAGTAATGGGCCTATAAGTCAGTGGTTCTCAACAAATTTTCTTATTTTAAATTTGACTATTTTATTCCTAATTTCCCGCAAAAAAACTATTCATTACACGTAATAACAATAATAATAATAATAATAACATATATTTCCTCTAGTCAATACGACAATTGAATAGGAATAGTCAAAAGAAAAGTACATAAAGACAAAACTAATTTACAACTTAAGATTAACTAACACAAAGTTGATTAACAAAACATTCTTCCACAGAATAGAAACATTTATCAACCAAGTATTTTTTCAGAGCCTTTTTGAAGCTATAAATAGAGGTACAAATTTTAATATCATTAGGTAATCTATTAAACATTCGTATACCAGGACAGTTAGGTGAGTTAAAAGACAGATTACACCTAACAAATGGTATACTAAAATGGCAAGACTGGCGTGTATCAATTGAATGAATCTGATTCCTGTGGACCAATTGATTTTTGTTGACAAAAATATATAGACACATTTCATACAACAAAACAGAAGGCATTGTTAAAATATTGTAACAGACGAATATCCGTCTACAGGATTCCCTAGCTGACATTCCGAACATACACCTAATTACACGTTTTTGAGCAACAAATACATTATCAGCGTGGCAAGATGACCCCCAAAAACAGATACCATATCGCAAACGCGATTCTACCTGGCAGTAATATAGTTTCAGTAATTGATCAATGGTTAGGACTTTTCTGATATTTCGAAATTGATATGATACTGAATTTAACTTCATTACTAATTCGTTACATTGATTATTCCAAGTTAGACACTCATCCAGGGTTAATCCTACAAATTTCACAAGATTTGTGTTATTAATTAGTGTATTGTTAACATGAACATCAATACTATTACAGAGCTTTTGTCTATTGTGAAATCTTATAACCTGAGTTTTATTGATATTTAATAGTAATGAATTTTGACTAAACCAGTCACTCATCCTGGATATCACTGTACCGCAAGATTCAGATAATTTTTTATCCGATTTGTCAGAGATCGCCATTGACGTATCATCGGCATAAAAGTGAAAGACCCCGATCCTGAAAGCTCGTCTAAGTCATTAATGTATAAAAGAAACAGGACAGGGCCCATCACCGAACCCTGGGGTACCCCTGTATTGACTTTTTTAATTTCGGAAGTTACATTATCTATAGCAACATATTGATCTCGATCTCGAATAAAAGTTGCCACTCATTTCTGGGGAATGCCACCAATCCCATATTTCTCCAACTTGTCAACCAAAATGTCGTAATTTACGCAGTCAAACGCCCTACTGAGATCACAAAAGATCCCAACAGGGCATTCTCCAGCTTCTATAGCTCCAACAATATGACCATAGCATGAATGCATAGCAGTAGTGGTTGACTTACTGCTTATGAAGCCGTGTTGATTACTGGATATGATATTGTTATTAACAATAAATGAATAGTCTATGTAGAAAGGCATGTTCAAATACCTTTGAAAATGCTGAAGTAACAGTAATGGGCCTATAATTTTCCAGAAAACTGCTGTCATACTTCTTGAAAATAGGAGTTAATTTACCCATCCTCAAGCAATCTGGAAAGTGGCCAACAGCAAATGACAAGTTAACCAGATAAACCAACGGATGTATTAATGCATGCAAGTATTTCTTCAAAATAAAAGGTGGAATCTCATCATAGCCCGATGAGAACTTACAATTCAATTTGTTAAGTCAGTAACTCATACAACTCCGGCACAGTAAAAGGATTAAAAAATAATGACTTGCTTTTGACTGTCATGCTATCGATGTACTGCACGGAACCATTACTTTGTTGAATTTGATCAATAACATCACTAGCAACTTTACAAAAATAGTCACTGAACAAGTTAGCAATTTGTTTAGAGTCGGTAATAGACATGTTATTATCTTTTAAAACTATGTTGGGAGATCGTAAGGAAGATTTATTCGACAATTCAGATACAATCCACCAAGCTGTTTTTGTTGGGTTATTTGAGGTGCTTATTTTTTCTTGATAGTAATATTTTTTAGTTGACTGCACTAAATGATTATGTTTTATTTTGTTAACTTTATAAACTGTAGATAAAACGGGATAAGATAATTTTAAGTAATATAGGTCTTTGAGTTTTGCACTACTACGGCGCACGTCATCATTTACCCAATTTTTATTTTCACGATTGGGGCGACCATGAGCACGACGAGGAAAGTGTTTATTAAAACTATATAAAAATAAGTTTGTAAAAATCTTACATGCGTCATTTACATCCTCGGATAGATACATATCGTTCCGTTCTAGTGTTTCAATATTATCTATAAAATTTTGTATAGCGTCGTCACTGAACGATCACCTTATATTATGAGAGTTACCATATGCAAGGTTGTTTCTTGAAGCCCAGTCAAATAAGACAGTTCTATGGTCCGAAATACTATTATCTGTAACGCAGACAGTTGACCTCTCTGTGAAATTACAAAATATTTGGTCAATCGTCGTCATACTGGTATCCGTGACTCTGGTAGGCCATCTTACCATATAGGTTAAATTAAAACTAGACAGATTATCACATAAAATTTTAAAATCATTTGTAGGGACAGTATAGCAATCGAAATTGAAGTCACCACAAAGCAAAATGTTTATATTTGGTTTATAAATTGAATTTAAAACATCCGATAATTGATTTATAAAAATATGTTTATCACCTAGTGGAGACCTATAACAACAGAGTAAAACTGTATTTCCAATATCAAGCTGACAAGATATGGCACATATTTCAAAATGCTTGTCAATACAATATTGCTTTAAATCTATCTTCCTTACATTCAGAATATTCTTAATTAATATACCCCACCCCCCTTAAAATTCGATCTACAATAGTAGTCAGTTAAATTAAAATTGTTAAAATGACATGAATTAATAAACTCATTACACCAAGTTTCAGTTAAACACAAAAATTTTACATCAAACATAGAAGTATCAATGAACAGATCATCCAATTTATTACCATTTACTGATTGGATATTCAATAGTACAAGGCTGGGATTGAACATCATTTGCTGATATTTACCTTGTTCGGCTTCAATTCTAAAAAACGACTAATACATGTACCGTAGGGCCATAGTTTAGGATCGATGGCATCTTTGAAATTACTATCCAAGACGCTTACTTTAAAAGTTCTACATAATAGTAGAATTAATAGACTCTGCCGCTGTTTCAGATTTATGTACACGCTTAAGATTCACCCTGTATAATTAATTTCTAGCTATCTGCTGATCAGAATGACATAGTGGAAGAGAAATTCAACACCGCGTCGTACCCCAAACTCCTGGAGAAAAAATTGTTGGATTTTATAAGAGATCATTTGGACAGTCTGCCGATGTACGCCCATCCAATCATGATCAAAGCCATTCTGGAAGGTTTCAACAAGAGCCCGATGTTTTCGTACTGATCTTTTACAATATACACATTTATGTAATGTATCTTTATGTTTATAAAGAAATAAATAACTATAAAGAAAAATACTAGGAGCAATATTTCCACAGAAACGTCTGGATAATGCGAATTACGAGATAAATTCATTATTTATTAATTTATGTATATATTTATTTTACCGCAATCAACTGCTAACCTCATCCGTTAGTTGGTAACGCAGATAAATTAGTGAGTTGGATTCGATTCTCATTCCAAATGACTGAATTCACGCAAAAGGTCAAAATAAATGTTATACAACAAATAGCCGACGATAAATTCCAGATATTTTTAGACAATATATTTTAATTGCTTATAACAGCCTGTGTATATCAATTAGCCTTCCATCTCTTTCTGGCCTAAAAATAGCGTTGTAAAATTGTATTGGCAGAACCGGTTTCAAGATTTTTAGAACCTAGAACAAATTTTATAATCAATTTTATCAATTTTAATCAGGCTATAAAAGTTTTTTATTTAAAGATATTAAAACTATAAAATCATGTTAATAACATTTTATCTAATAGTTTAGAAATAAATTTCTGGTGTACACTCCTGGCCCTTTGAAAGTGGACGATTTATTTTTCTAATGTAATGTTGTCTACTTCTTATTATGACAAGTTTTTATATGTCAGTGTCATTAGTAGTTTGCTTGGTAATTCAAGATGCCGCGTTTAACGGAACCAGAGAAAGTGGGAACTATAACTTTACTTCAAAATTATTGGTCACTGCGGATGATCTGCATGTATGCAAGAACAGCATATTTAAACTCAAAGAAATATGGATTTCGGAGGGTCACGTACGTTAATTATGTTCACAGAGGTGGACGTCGAAACAGGCCCGGATCCAGAGGGGGTGGCGATGTGGCGATCGCCACCCCCAAAGCACAACATTTTTTAAAGATCTTCAATTTCTCCAAACGGCAACAGGCAGTTAGTCGATATTAATGCAAGTCCCCCTTCCTAACCTACACCTTACGTCATCAAAAAAATAACAACAACAACAACAACAACAACAATAATTTCAGTCTTGCTCCGATGCTTCTGTCCGTGTCTACCCACCAGATTATAAGGTATTCGGAGCCTTATGTGAAACCCACACAACGCAGCGATGGATTCTCAATTAACGATTGGGCTTGGATAAGCTACTAAAGTCCCGATATTTGTTGTGACTATGCTGTATCCTCAGAATTTCACTTTCAAGCAGGATAATTGTGCAATTCACACCTCAAGAGTTGCGTCAGAATAGTTCATTGATAACAACATCGATGTTTTACCTTGGCCCTCAAAGTCCTGGGGATATATGGTGAAAAAAATTTACGGCAGAAACTTCCGTCCAGTTAACGTCGAAAAACTTTGGGAGGCAATTGAAAATGCATGGGACAACATCACTGAGGATTATAACAAGAACATTAATTTTATTAATGCCATGTAGATTGCAGTGTTATAGACCAAAATGGTGCTTGGACAAAATACTAACTTTACGAATCGCGTTTTTTTGAAGATGAAGTGTTTCATTTTTAGATCTCTTTGACGGCGAATGAATGGCTGTTAGAATGTATAATATATTTCAGTATTGGAAAAATAAATAATTTGCTACCTAATTTGGATTTGTTTTGCTCACTAGAACTAGTATGATAGACACACATTAAATTTGACATAATGACAGCCGATTTGAACCTCACATTTTCAAGTCAGCTTCACAAAGGCCAATTATACCCCTTAGGGGTCAAATTTGGGTCCCTTACTTTTTATAATTTATACTGCTTCCGTTTTAGAATCAATTCAACAATGTAAAGTGCAAGCTTATGCTGATGATAACTATATTATCATTTTGATATTAATGATCTGGATGAACATAATTAAAAATTAAATTCTAGCAAATCAAAAATATTTTTTTTTGGTACTAAGAAAAAGGTGCAAATATTAAGACTCAACTTTAATATTATAATTGATTGTATTTCAATTCCTATTACTGACATATAAAAAATCTGGGAGTGACGCTTGACAGTAATTTACGATTCAATCAACATGTGAAAACATTACTTTAAAAATCTTATTCTTCACTTAGATTAATTTATAGTAGTCGTCATATTCTGAATAAAAGACTTAAAATTATGTGAGTCACTTGTTCTCTCCTATTTTAATTATTGTGATTATGTCTATGGTCCATGCCTTAGTATACAAGAAAAAAACAGAATTCAAAAAGTTCAAAATTCATGTTGTTGCCTTGTACCATGACAAAATTGTAGAAATCAAGTGGGTCAACATGGAGAATCGTCGGCGTCACCATCTTGGCAATCTTGTGCGTAAAAATTTAACCATTCCTTCTTATCATTCATTAGAAACTAAATTTTTTAATCCTTCAGTTCATTCGAGGAATATGCGATTTAAAAATACCTTTACAATGCCACATCATCGTAGTGCACTATTTAAAAGATGTTTTACTTATATAGTCCAGGAAATATAGAGTTGGACGCGACTTTTTGTTTCGGCAAGCTGAATTTATCACTATAGATGCTAAATATTATGTACAAGAACATATTAGTTTCCACAGTCATAAAAATGGGGAGAAGATTGTTTACAGGCTGGTTAATTGTATAATTTTGACGTAAATATGACTTTTGAATTAAACATTTATAAACTGCGTTATTATTACCAGAACGTTTAACGTATTAATTAACCACCCTGTAAACATTCTTCCCCCAATTTTTATGACTGTAGAAACTAATATGTTATTGTACATAATATTTAGCATCTACAGTGATAAATTCAGCTTGCCGAAACAAAAAGTCGCGAAATGGTCATTACCCAACTTATTTTCCTGGCCTACATAATTCTATCACTTTATACAATTCTCTTCCTGATAATTTTACAATTTTTAATATTGACAAATTCAAGTATAAATTTAAATCATATCTATTGAGTGGAGAGCTGATTTTGTAGTTTATAGTCGACGATTTTTATTTTGATTATTGTTAGGCAATTGTATTTTATTTTAATTGTGTTATTGTTTCTTTTCTGAGCGATTGTCTGCTGTTATTTATGTATTTTGATATTACATGATATCGCATGCATATGGTTGAGTGTGAATAGCTTTTGCTAGACTTCGCCATCGGTTTGCGAATTTTTCCCTTTATTTTTTCTATTTCTTTATTTTTATATTTACATTATCTGCTTCTAATAAAGACGATTTATTATTATTNCTGGGAGTGACGCTTGACAGTAATTTACGATTCAATCAACATGTGAAAACATTACTTTAAAAATCTTATTCTTCACTTAGATTAATTTATAGTAGTCGTCATATTCTGAATAAAAGACTTAAAATTATGTGAGTCACTTGTTCTCTCCTATTTTAATTATTGTGATTATGTCTATGGTCCATGCCTTAGTATACAAGAAAAAAACAGAATTCAAAAAGTTCAAAATTCATGTTGTCGCCTTGTACCATGTACAAAATTGTAGAAATCAAGTGGGTCAACATGGAGAATCGTCGGCGTCACCATCTTGGCAATCTTGTGCGTAAAAATTTAACCATTCCTTCTTATCATTCATTAGAAACTAAATTTTTTTAAACCTTCAGTTCATTCGAGGAATATGCGATTTAAAAATACCGTTACAATGCCACATCATCGTAGTGCATTATTTAAAAGATGTTTTACTTATATAGTCCAGGAAATATAGAGTTGAACGCGACTTTTGGTCTCGGCAAGCTGAATTTATCACTATAGATGCTAAATATTATGTACAATAACATATTAGTTTCTACACTCACAAAAATGGGGGAAAGATTGTTTACGGGTTGGTTAATTGTATAATTTTTAAGTAAATTCACGTATTTGCTTATAACTTTTTTCCGTTCATTTCCACGAGAAAACAGTAAAGTACTTTTTTTTGTCTATCTAAGATCCATAAAACTAGCCCTCGAGCGTCAAAAAATATTGATTAGATCAAAAGTTATAAACTGAATTAATTAAACATTTATAAACTGCGTTATTATTACCAGAACGTTTAACGTATTAATTAACCACCCTGTAAACATTCCCCCAATTTTTATGACTGTAGAAACTAATATGTTATTGTACATAATATTTAGCATATACAGTGACAAATTCAGCTTGCCGAAAAAAAAAGTCGCGAAATGGTCATTTCCCAACTTATTTTCCTGGCCTACATAATTCTATCACGAGAATCACGTTTTTTTTCGGTTCTGTTTTTTTTTCACGGTTGAGATGAAAACAGTTTAGCAAAGTTGGCTGTTAGCAGTCAAGGCCTCCCAATGTCGGACGTAACCGAGTTTAATAATTGTTTTTAGGTGTATAGGATGGGTGAACATCGATTGTCCATTGTTCAGGCTCGCGAGTTGAGAGGCCTACTATGACTGCACTGCCTTTTTAAATGAAATTTAAATAGTCGTTAGAGTTGCAAAAAACGGCAAAGATTATTTTAATTTCAAAAAAATTTTGACACTTTTAACAATATAGTCCAGATAACACACTGATATAAATAAAACACTTAAAACTTACACTTGTGTCTTCAAATAAATGTCAGTTAGAAATTTTCAAATCTCTGCACAGGGTACTTTTTACAATAAATGTTCTTCTAATTACCCATTAACTCCCGTTAATTCGGCGGACTACTTCGCACCAGGGAACATGCCGAGCGTTTCAACATTGAAACGAAACAGCTGATTTCCCCAGATGTCTTGAATTTTGCAATTGGCTTTGACGCAGCAGATCCCAACTTTATTATCAAAGTGCTATGGACAGATGAGTGACTGTCTTTTTAACCGTACTGTTATTTTAAATAGTAGTAAAGTACCATACTACTCATTGAAAAACAGTAAGTCACACAATAAGGTATACGTACTACAAACTGCATAATTAATTGAAGATAATACTAAAAACTCGTCGTTCACTATGGATTAAAAGCGCGTTAAAAGCTATGTTAATGATCGAATATTACGGTAGATCAAGATTCA